ACTGTCGCTCCCCCACTTTACCTCCCTCTCAGGTGTTACGTCACAGCCCCAGGTGAAACCAGGTCCCTTATGAAATGATACCACGATGCAGCATGCTTCTCACTGTCCCGCGGTTAACAAGCGCACTTCCCCATGTATCTGCGCTAATGGGAGACCACCAGCTGCCTCCCTGATTGGAGGGTAAACTCTCAGGGTTGAGAAGGGCCGGTGTCTGGTTTTGCTCACAGCTGTCTCCGGAGAGCTTATCCCCAGCCCTCAAGTCACACCCTTTTAAGATGTTTTATGAAGACGCAGATTTGTGAGGAATGAAACTTCATCCCTGGATTTGCCTGTAAAGCTTTCTAATGACCATAATGGATGCTGCCGAGACACGGTGAGCCCTTTTGGCCAAGACAGCATCCTAGGACAGGAGATTTCACAGGCTGCACAGCTGTGAAAACGGCCCCAGGCTGGGGGAGTGGCTCCCACAGGCAGAAGCCCAGAGAGGCCCCGCCCCCTCAGTTTCCCTGCAGCAGGAACGGCCAATGCCCAGAAACCCTGCAGAACGCTCTTCAAGGTCACTTCTCGGGGACAACCTCACTGGACATGAGAACGGGTGATCTTTTTCCTGCTGACACAGACAGACAACATCAAGGAGGCCGGTTTTGTCCAAGTCACAACAAGCACAGGAAACGACTCAGGGTGAATTCAACCAAAAGAGTCTTCGAGAATTTTGACCCGAGCCTACTGTGGCCAGAAAACATTCATTACAAGAGCTTGGTTTCACTGGATATTTTGGTGAGTCTTTAACACATGTTTACAGCACATTTAAAAGATCAAATCAATTAGATATTACAGATGCGTGTGATGCATGTGTTGCCATCTTGCATGTGTTACATGCAAGAATCCACGTCATTGTAGTGTCCCGTGTTACAAGAGCCCAGAATCGGGAGTGTAGTACGCATGGGTGTGTTTTTCCGGATGAGGGGCTCCATGGTCATGATCACTTTCCAGAAGAGCTGTGGGTGAACAAGGCCAGGAACCAGCAAACGACATTCTAAGGCCTTTCCTGGTTCTAAAATTATATGCGTCTTTTTTTTTTAAGATTTTATTTATTTGTTTTCAGAGAGAGGGGAAGAGAAGGAGAAAGAGAGGAAGGAAACATCAATGTGTGGTTGCCTCTCCCATGCCCGCCACCAGGGACCTGGTCTGCAACCCAGGCATGTGCCCTGACTGGGAGTCAAACTAGTGACCCTTGCTTCGCAGTCTGGTGCTCAATCCACTGAGCCACACTGGCCAGGGCTAAAATTACGTACGTCTTAAACTCTGATGCTAAATTGGTGATGTGGTTGGAAAATGTAGTGGAAACCGAGATCCCTTGCATTTGCAATGCCAGCTATCTGCCTGGAAAACAAAATTCCAGGTTTTATCCAAATGTTTGAAGTCACACATACAGAGTCTAAGAACTTGGCCGTCATGTTAACTCACGTATTTGTGTGATTACTGCTGGCTCCTAATTGTCCCTGTGCCCAAGCACATCAGAAGGTCCTAGGGGACCTGCCGCCACAGCAGGAAAGGCCAGGGCGCTGTGCAAGACCCACAGTTCTTGATTGACAGCCCATGTGTGCCTCCTTGCTTGTCCCGGTGAAACCGCCATCATTCCACGAACCAAACCTGACAGAAGCTGAGTCGGGTCTGCACCGTTACCTGCCCACCCAGCTCACCTCCTGGCAGGGAAGCCACGGACAGATGTGTCTTTCCCCTGCACAGAAGGTGTCTTATTGGCCGGAACACCTGCAGAGGACAGCGAGAGGCCAGCAGACGAGTGCGGGACGACACCCAGCACCCTCCCGGGGCCCTGTGAAGGGTCTCCCCCAAGCCCCCCAGAGGGCTTGGCTGTAGGGAGTTAGCACTGCAACAGGCACGATGAGAGGCATGGCACTTGGAGTCCTCACGCACTCGCTCCGGAGAGTCCGAACCGCAGACTCCTGAAAGGTGACTCTCCCTTGCTCCTGTTTTGTGTTCCAGGACAGCCACAAGATGCACTCAGAAAGGGCCACCGCTGTGTGAGGCAGCCCCAGTGGCCCGAAAACGCATCCTTCTCTGCTCTGTGCTCCTCTCCACGTGAAGTGAATGCGGGCACCCCTTCCCCCTCCCCCTCAATAGAACTCCTCTGACATCAAACCACAAGGCCAGACAGAGCAGGGGAACAAAATCTGCGAAGGACACCCGTAATCGGCTCTCATCCTTTGCAAAAGCGCCACTAGGTCCTAGCTGTGCGGTGCCTGCTGATTTCTTTGGGCCTCCCCCCAAAAAAACATTTAACGTAGAGCCCGGGCGTGTTCCCGAGGCACATGTCTCCCTGCATGGCTCAGTGGCACCGTTGGGTACGAGAACATAAAGGGTCTGTTTACAATATTCTCGCTCTCCAGGCCCGAGGCGCCTTATTTTGGACTCCTCTCACCGCCGATCAATTTTTCAGTCTGCTGCTTTATCTACCTGACAGGAAGACTTGAACTACTGCCATTTCTAAATTGCACTTCTAAATATTGACTCAATGGCGAGACTCGGAGTGTCATAACACAGCTCACTGGAGCGAGGAAGGCTCTCCAGGCCTCCTCGAGGGGTCTGCACAGTGTCCTGGGGGAGGAGGGAAGGAAGAGGGGGATTCGGGAAGAAAAACAAAATCAAGCCATGTTTAGAAGACACGCCACTGCCCTTCACTTCATCTCGCGGAGACAAATGAGCACGGACCGTGAGTGCTATCCGCTGTGGCTGGAGGGGACTCGGGGGAAGGGAGAAAGGGGAGAGTGACCCGGAATCCTTCAGCCACCAGCTGGTAAGAATGGGAGGTGCCCCAGCCACGCTGGCTGGGCCGGCGGCAGGGCCGTGAGACAGACCCAGCTCTTGGAGAGCCTTTATTTGTGTATCAAGTTTAGGACTGGGCAGCGTCTAAGTAACAAGAGACTTTTCACCCGATATCTCTCCAGATTCAACACGGCGAGATCTGGAGCTCATCCTCACTGCGGCCACTGAGGAAATTCTAGGAGGCTATCCTTTTAGCTCCTTTCCTCCTGAGAGTTAACAGTACGAGCTGACCCTAAGGCGTCCCATCACAGTAGCTGTTGAACTGGGAATCAGAGGAAGAGACCGGCCTTTCCTTGCCGGTAAGGAGCTGTTTTGGAGGAGCGATGAGATATTTTGAGTGCAAATTAGCTTTGAGATTTTTTTAGGTACTCAGTAATCTGTAAATTCAAGTTGTTTGTCATCATCCAGGGGCCCGATCCTTCCGCAGGAGATGCAGAATAGTGCTCGGGACTGCTCCTCAGAGAAAAGTCTGGAATAAGGCAACAGCCCCCACTCTGCGATCATCCCCCATCTTCCCTGACCGTCGTCATCCGTGGATCCCCCTCCGCAGGAGATCACCCGTGGAGAATGCCTGTGCAGAGCTGGGGAGAGATCGTGGGGGAGGAGCTCTTAAAAGTCCTGCGAGGGAGAGTGCTAAGGTGACCAGACGCCGTGGAAGATGACTCTGACACTGGGGCGATGTTCACCTTGAGGGTCCTCGGGTTTGTTTGAGGGCGGGGCCCTGAGGCAGCACGCCCAGTCTGTTCGCTATGTGTTGACCACGGTTTCTGAGAACGACCCCACAGTGCAGCGCCATCTGTTGGCGTCAGGCCGCATCGCACCGGGCCGAACCACGAGCTTGGCTCCACCAGCAAGCCTGATCCCCTTGGCTGAGGTACGGTCCTGGTTCCTCGATTTCCCGTCGGAGAAACGCCGAGTCTCCATTTAAGGTAATGCGGTTCTCTGAACTCCCTCCCTTGCTCGAAAGCCTCTTGTCGGGTCAGCCAAGGGAGCCCCGCAGGCAGAATCCCAGGTGCCTTCTGACGAAACCCTAGCCCTGCCCCTGAAACCACATCCGCCCGCCGGCCCGGCCTGCGCTGGCCTTGCCAGGCTCCCCTGGCGATGCCAGTCTCTGCCCTGCGGCGGCCTTGAGCGCCCTGAGCAGCCCTCCACGGGGCCACCTCCGTCCAGCGTCTCCCCAGCTCGCGCCGCAGGCCCACGTCCTCAGTGTGGGCCAGCCGTGATTCAGCCTCGGCTCACCCCTCATTCTCTCCGCTCCCTCAGCCCCACCTGCTGCCCTCCCCCATCTCCCACCGTGCTGTCACAGTTCCACCAGGCGGCTGCCGCCCCCAGCCCCAGCCAATGAGACGCCCTCCCCTGCCTCCCCGCAGTTAGGCCTTCATCTCCCTGGGGACCCCCCCACCCCCCAACGCCTCCTTCCCTAGCGGCCCCCACCAGCGTCACTCCCTCAAGAGTTAGGCAGAGCAGTGTCTGCAGCCCTGTGCATGGACGAGGCAAATCACCCACATCTCCAGGAACAAAGCCCACCCATGGGAAGACAGTGGGAAGACAGTGGGAAGACGATGATCTCGTTATCACCGACCCTCTCATCCCTAATGAAAGGTCTTCCCCAGCCAAGACAAGAGTATCCTGGAGACCCCTCACGGCAGCCAGGGCAGGTTGCACGGTTCCTCACCTGGTTGCCGTAGGTAAAGTCATTTAGTTTCTCATGGGATATGAATACAAGGGAGCGTCATTAAATACACTACCGAAAAGTTGTAAATGCTTTGAGCAGTGTTTTCAACATAGTTAGAAGAACTCAAAATCTGTGGAAATGGTGCGCCAGATTCTCTTGTAAGGCAAATAAGCATCCTATAACGACCTGTCCCGGACATCTGACATTTTGTGCGAGGAAAAGCGTGCCGTGCTGCAGCCACACTGCTGAGCCGGGGGGCCGGGCAGTGGTGTGGTGCCTGCTCCAGCGTTAGAGGGTTCCAAACAACTTTTTTTTTTTTTTTTACACACATGCTCCTAAGAAATACTTCCTGAATAAAGATCCTATTTTCCAAACCCTGGGTGGGTCTTCAAACACCTCTCCCACATGCTCTGTCTTCGGCGACGCCGTGGGGGGTGTCTGGGGGTCTGGAAGGTGGGCAGGGCCTGGAGGTACTCACCCGGCCAGTAGTACATGTAGACCTTCCTGCGGGCCCTGGTCAGGGTGACCCACAGCGGCTCCGACCCGTTCCACCAGAGGGGCAGCAGGCTCTCCCTGTTGACGCCGATGTCGAACGACGTGTTGGTGCTGGGGTCCCACATGTAGTTCCCGGTCATCTGGTGCACCTCGCAGTGGCGGCCTGCAGGAACAGAACACCCGGCTCGTCAGCGTACTGTGTTTTCAGGTGTCTTCGGGCGGTACCTTTGTTCTCTGTTTGTAAAAGCCCCTCGGTCGCCTTTGGGAAGGACAGGGCAGCATAAATCAGTATTGGCTCCTGATTTCTTTTAGCAGAGATGTTCCTTCTCTCTTAGTGGTCCCATAAAGGCACACCGTGGAGTGAGAAGCCCAATAACTGACCGAGGGTGGGATGGTTTTGTGCGAAGTTAATTGGCCAAAGCTGACGCTATCTTAAGTTAAACTGAGGACACGGCGTGCAAAATCTGCCCCGCTGTGCATGGCGTGAACTCCAAATGTGACTCAGCATGGGAATGGCAGATCCCTGGGGGAACCAGGGTTGAGTTCTCAGCCCTGAGCGCTCTCTCTGGGTACCCCTTCCAAACTGCGCCCCTACAAGATCAAAGCAGACGCTATGGCATGCACCCCCCTTTCTTCCTGCATAAGGGGCGTTATCGCTGTAGCGCTGAGCAGTGACAGAACCCATGGCACTTGGAACAGAACAGCAGAAAATAGATTCAACGTTGCAAAAACAAAAAAAACGACAAACCACGCAACAGTCCACATGGAGCGCTACAGAGACGGGAGGGCTGCTTTTGCTGGGCACGACTCAGTCCCGGAAGAGAAGCCAGAAGCGAAAGACACAAGCGCTTGGACTCTTTTGGAACATAAGGCTTAAATTATTTATTTTGTGGCAATCTGTGACATCTTTAAAGTGAAAGTCACACAAACATTGGCAAGGGCATCAAAAACCGCTGTGATGTTAGGGAGCATCACTTGGCGCTGGGATGAACCACACTTCACCAAGCTGTTCATGCTTCACCCTAGTGGGCTTTGTTGGTTTGCCGCCGGTGGTTCTTCCTGATCGCCCCTGCCCGACACGCACACGCTCTGTTTTTAAATAGAAACCAGGGAAAACCATAAAATACAATTTTGAATATTTGGAGACCCCCACCTATCATAAAGGAATCATCTTTGTATTTCATCACAGAAACCCAGGCGTCACGCAAATCAGGCTTTGAATGTAAAGCTCAGTGATCGAATGTAGTGGGGTTTGTTTTTTTTTTCATATTTTTCTTTTTTCGGCTGTTTGACCAAAAGCTTTACAATTAGTTTTCTGATCCTAACCAAAGCTCTTATAGGTGGACTGATACATTTTTTAAATAAAATAGGAACTCTGTGCAAATTGTCCAACGGTCAGGAAACTTCCCGGTGCCGTTCATTCCGGCGGCGGACACTCACTGGGCTCCTGGGGACGACACCCGGGGGCAGGTGCAGAGGTTCCCGTCTGAGTAACCGTGGCCTCATCCTAGGTGCTCGCGACGCGACGGGGCTCAGCGGGGGCTCCTCCGCACGGAAGAGCCAGGCTCCACAGTCCTGGCTGAGAAGGGGGCCGGGTGGCAGCTCTAACCCGAGAATCGGGGGGACATTCACCCCCTCGGTGGCCGAGGATGATGCTCAGTGTGTTCTAACTCATCGAAAGTGGGGGCACACTTCTTACAGCCCCCCCCATTGTTATCTTTTTCTGCATGTCCACGCTTAATGATATTAAGAGAACCCCTTTCATGTGTAAAAGTTCTTCATCTTTACTCAAAATACTCCATTGCGCATCCAAATTTTTTTTTTTTATCATTCTAAGGATGCTCACTCAGCCTGTTCACAAGGCAAGAGAATCATGACAACACGACAACCATGACAAATGTCTCCTGTACAGACTCTTTCCCCAGCGGTGTTCTCTGGCACCCTCCCACGTGCAGGGGTGGGGGGGCGCGTCTCACCGGAGCTGGTGCACGAACACATCGGGGCTGGCACCTGGGTCCGTGCTGGCCTGAACCCACTCTTACCCAGGCTGGCTTCCCCGCCTGCCCCGGCCTCTCCTGCTCTTTTGTGGTTACTGCCTGGGTACCGTGGCGGCTGGAAGGGCAGAGCAGAGCAGGCAGAGAGTCCCGGCTGCTGCAGCGCTCACCTCCACGTGTCCGCCCGACCCACGTCTGGTTCTGTGCACCTGCGACTCTCCTGGGCTTTTCCCTGGCCCACCACACAGAGCTTTGTGGCAGCTGCTCTACGGGGGGCAGTTGGGGGGGGACCCTTTGCCCGGGGCTTCGGCGGAGACTCTCCTGATGCCATCGCCAACCGCAAATCGCAGGTGGTTTTCAGGGGTGGGGTGTGGAAGGCCCCCTTCTGCTTCCCCCCCGAGGGACAGCTGTGTGGGGCTTTAACATCTGTGCCGGGAGGCGCAGCACTGATGTGAAAACGGGGACAGCTCCTGGTCCGAGAATTTCCAAACACAGTGAGCGTTTTTCTCATTTTTTTCTCACTTATCCTAAAACCTGAGAGGGTGTGAACACTCAGGGTTCCACGGCCAATAAGGAACTTTTTAAAAGATTTTTTATTTATTTATTTTTTTTAGCGAGGGAAGGGAGGGAGAAAGAGAGAGAGAGAGAGAAACATCAATGTGCGGTTGTTGGGAGTCGTGGCCTGCAACCCAGGCATGTGCCCTGGCTGGGAATTGAACCTGCAACACTTTGGTTCGCAGCCCACGCTCAATCCACTGAGCTATGCCAGCCAGGAATTTTTTAATTATACAAATGCTTTCTTAATTCCTGCTGTGTAATCGCCTTTACACAGTAATAATCATCTTTAACTTTTGAATGTGTCCCCTGTGCTTTCCCGGGATGAATGGAGCTGTGTCTAGTAGGCATCACACAGCTGGTGGAAAAGTTACATTTTAGGCGCGTCAACTCACTCAAAACATGGCCACGTAAAGCACAGTTAACAAAGTGCTGACAAGGAGCTCAGAGATGACCATTCTGGAACATATGCGTGTTCACCCGCAGGCAGCACCCGGGTGCCTGGCGTTCAGAGCTGCAGGCAGGCCTCCAGGGCTGCCCGCTGGAAGTGTGGGTCACAGCCACGTGTGACAGGCACGCTGACCCAGGCTGCAGACGGTGTGTCCAGCTCAGGGAGATGATGGGCACAGTGGAGAGGCGACAGGCAAGTGGCCGGACAGACCATGGCTGGCCCACTTTGCAGGTGAAGTAACTGAGGCTGGAGAGGTGACTGGCCTGGTGTCGCAGCAGGAGGGGGAGCGCAGCCAGACGCCAAGGCAGGTGGCCGGGCCCAGAGCCCAGCCCCTCGCTGCAGGCACCTCCTAGCACTAACCACGGGGGCAGGAGCTGGCACTCAGCGCCGGTCCCTGCACTCGGCCAGCCCGCAGGGATGAAGCTGCTGCCTGTGTCACGTGAGCTGTTACTCGATCTGCATGCTCCCACCCTCGAGGACAGGATGACTTCAGGGGACCCGGTCAGCCCAGGGCTACGGTTCCAGGGATCAGCTACACGGGTAGCGCCTCACCTGGAGCGATGACTGAAGGCGTCAGAGGCCCAGTCAGACGCAGGAGGGGTCATCACCCGAAGGCCAAAGGCCTGAGCCAACTTGACAGGGGCTTCCTGGCCGACTTAGTGATAAGCTACCAGTTGTTGACCACCTCCCGTGTGTCTGGAACTAAGGGCCTCAACCTCCCACCTCAGTTGGTCCTTACTGAGACTCCAAGCGATAGACAGCATTACCCTCGTGTTGCCGGCGGGAGAACTAAGGCTCAGAATGTCTGGGTGACGAGACTCGGCCCACGCAGCTGCTGGAAGGACAAGGCCCTGATCCAAAGCCGTACCCTTCCCGGTGCCAGCCCCACTCCAGCCTCTGGGTTCTCATCCACCCTCCAGGGTCTGGCTGTTTTAATAGAAACTGCCTCGGAATCCAGGTCTGCTTCTGCGACTCTCACTGAGGTAACCGCATGTGGGTAGCCCAGGTCTCCAAAAAGCCAGAGACTCACCTGTCTCTTGCAATCCCCTATCGTGCATCAGCATAACCATTTCTAATGGCGAATGCTGCCAGACCAGGGAGCTAACCACGCAGACGGGAATCTTATGTTTTCTCTCCCTCTGGAAAGGGTCCAGCTGGGAAGAGAGCCTCCCAGAGCTCTGGAAACTCTGGGTCTCCAGTTAACGAGTGCATTTTAGAGACCAGACACGTATGCATCCCCTCAGACCGACACGGTTCCAAACGGTAATTACAGGCCCGACTCAGCGCCCGGCCGCCTGAGAATGTCCTGTAAGGCAGACTTTCCCACGACCAGCCTCCTCCGAGCACTTTTCCTGGAGCATCTGCAGGGTCTCAAGACTAGTTTAGACCCTGGTTGGTAAATTTTCAAATAAATACATGACACCCCCGAGACTTGGAAAAAAAAACGAGCAATGCATTACTCTAAGCCCCCGAGTCACCAATCGGAATTTGCTTTATGGATCACCTCCACGGGGGAATACGTCCTATTTTCTCAGCTTGTTCAAAGTCGGAATTTGCCATGTTAAGGAAGTAGTTTCGAATGCAATGTGCAAGATCAAGCTGAAAGAGAAGTTCACAGTTTGCTCCCCTTTAAATGCAACTACTGATGTATGTGCCAGACACAGTCATGATTAGATTCTGAATCACAAATATCGCAAGGCCGAGATAACAGGCTTTGATTACAGGGCGAGGTGCAGACTGCTGCAAAAATAACCCGCCGCGTTCAAAGGGGAGAGATTTTTGATTAGAGGCGTTTTTTTGCTCGTAGTTTTGAGGTCACGGGAGTCCACAGAAAGCACTGCTTGACTTTTCTGGGGTGTACTAGCTTGGTGCCAGTATTTAACCACCAAAATGCGGAAAAAGAGGCAAAACTGATTTCCCTGCATGAGGCCAGAAATGTAAACTTTGCACTTTCATGTAAACACGTTCTGGTTCTGGAAAGTGAATTTTTGCCGAAGCTCTAAGAAAGGTGCAGACGGGTTGATCCGTCCTCGCCTCTGTGACAGGTTGGAGGGGAGCCTGACTGAATTGTGGCATTTACGATGGAGTCTCTCTTGAGCCGCGTTTCCATCGCACTGAGCACTTCCAGGGACATCTAAGGATGGACGGTATTTGGAGGGGAAA